GACATATAAATGTTATTGGAGTGTTTCTTAATGCACAAGCATTGATTTTTAGCCAAGATCTTCTAATTGCAGGAGAAATTTAGAGACGTTGTGAACTGGTTAAAAGCAAATGCTACCAAAGGACATGGTATAACTTCACTAGAATTTCAGACTACTCAAAAGACAGTTGGATCTGAAAATAAAGAAAACAATGTCAAATTATCTATGGAGAAATCTGTTTTTCCTATGGCTAGTTCTTCTTCAAGCTTTGTGTCTTCCTGGAATTCTGGTCCACTCTTTAATAACAAAGCTCCATTCTCATTTGGTGGGTATTTTTCTTGAACCTTGATTATTGTTCCAGAGTATGAAAAATTTGAAGGTTTACTTGTTAAGTTTGAATATCTTAACATAAAATGTCAAATTTTCATTTTCAGAGTGTTCACTATTCTAATACAGACATATACATTTTAGTGGTATAAGAAATCTGTACTAGTTATGTTCCCGTCGCTTCATGCATCTGTTGCAATTTCAACAATCCCTAGCCATACTTGTCCTTTAATGCTGTCTTATCCCTTGTTTTGGTAAACTTACTGAAATATATATAAAAACTTACTGAAATATATATAAAAAAAATAAAAATTGATGCAGCTTTGGAAGAGTTTGGAAGAAAAAGTCATACATATTTGCCATATTGATGTTTGGTTTGATATGGAGGAGTTGAGTACATAACAAATGACTAGGTAGTTGAAAAATAAGAGCCAACATTCATTTCTTAAAATCCTGGTTATGTTTTGCATTGGCACATTGCTCCTTTGTTTTTCTTAAAAAAAGAGGCACGATTGCTCAAGTGCTTTGTGTAGTACCACTTAAAATGCATGCGTGTGTCTGTATCACTGTGAATTTTACTCTTTTTTTTTTTGTCTGACTGCATAAGCTGAATCAGTTATGTTACATCTATTTTGCTCTGGTATAAGAGTTGTTTACAAATAACAAGAATTGCTTTGTTTACTCATCTGCAGCTTTTAGACTGGAAATAGGATTAGGGGTATACTATATGATTGCCATCAGAATAAATGAGTTGTGATTGTTTTATACTTATTATCCCCTTCTCTTCCAGGACTTCAGACTTCCATTCCTCAAATTCAAACTGCACTTCCTTTGAACAATGACACTTCAAATGATGCTGATGCTGATGCTGATGCTGGTAAGAGATGGAAGTTATTTTTAGTTTCTATCAAAGTTCAGTCAGTTCATTTGAGCTGTCTTTGATTACATATTTGCATGTTATACTTTTCATGTGAAACCATGATAGGTGCTCATTGTTCTGCATAAATGTGTTTTAAGTCTTGAATGCCATGTTTTGGTCCTTCTTGCTTGGTGGGGATTAATTTTGTTTCTATTGTAGAAGATGATGTGAAGCAGCCTGGCAGTCCATCTGTGAAAAAGACTGAAGAAAAGGGAATTTTTGTAGTCCATGAAGTGAAATGCAAACTATATGTCAAGGTAAAATCTTTGTGCAAACATTTATATGATTCTATTTTGTTGGAGAAATTGCTCATGATGCATTTATAGATATAGATAGGGACATCACTGATTTTTAGTCACACAACATACATGGATGCAATAGAAAGTGATATGACAAGAATATATTGTCTTGCATGCGTTGTTGTTAAGGCCACCGGTCGGTGGAGACCGGTAACACCTAAGAAGCTCGCCCTCGCCTTAAAAAAATAAACCCCTACTAATACGTAGCCGAGAGCCTGAGACGCTGACTCCCCCCTCCCAACCTCGCCTTAGTGGTTGTTTACTTTGTTTTATGACAGGTTATGGCTGAGAATGAAAATAACCCCAATTATGATCCATCAACAGATCCTAAAAGGAAGGCTAAATCTAAAGACCCATGCTGGAAATTTAGTACTTATTGTTGAGATTTGAGAATATGTTTATATGCTAAATTATGAATTCGGATATATATATATATATATCCTCATTGCCTAGGCGGTCGGTGGCACCTTGCCTTGAAAGTCTGCCTTAACAACAATGCTTGCATGCATTAAGTCTTTAGAAGACTATATTTTATATGTTAAAGTCATCAACAATGAACTTGTGGGATTCAAACACTGTAAAATATGAAGCGTGCTGTTATGTTCTCCAGTCACGGGCAAAAATGCACAAAGGAAAAGAACAAAGAATAGAAAAGGAAAAGAAAACATTGGGTTTGCTTGAGACCCAAAACTCCCCTAGTCCCCCCTTTGGGATTAAATTTCTGCTTGTCCATTCGTCCAAATCAGACTCCCTTTTATAGGGCAAATTATGCTGTGGACCCAGGTCCAAAGTGCGCGCCTGGAATAACGGTGCTGTTAGTGGCACCGTTTCCTCAGCCAATGATATTTTTTTTTTTTTGTGAATATAGAGTTCTTTAATTATGAATGAATAGTTATGTAATTGTGAATATATAGTTTTGTAATTGTGAATATAGAGTTCTGTAATTGTGAATATAGAGTTCAAAAATTGTGAATATTGAGTTTTGTAATTTTGTATATTAAGATCTAAAATTGTGAATATAGAGTTCTATAGTTGTGAATATAGAGGAAAGAATTCTGAAGACAAACGACAAGGAAGGAAGCAGGTTTTTTTTTTTAAAATTTAGACGGCGTCATTTTGAATCAAAGCAACGTTGTTTTGGACCCGGGTCCACCTTGCAAGGTGGACCCAGGTCCATGGCATAACAATTGCTTTTATAGAGCTTATTACAAGGATTCCTAAACTAAGAATAATTTATTATTTGGTAGTTCACAAATAGCAAAATTGGCTAAACTAATTTTAAGACTAAGATTGATAAACTAAATAATTATTTAGTAGCTTCTAAATAACTAGATTAGTAATAAGCTAAATAACTATTTAGTAATTTCTTAATATCTAAACTATTTAGTGTAATTTTAATAAAACAAGACTTCTTTAATCATAACAACTTCCTAAATAATCATGGCCCCAACATGTGTCATGTGCTGCATATCTCGATTCTATGGCTGGCCCTTGTCAAGTTTTTACATTTTGTATTGTCTAATTTATACACATGGGATAGGTGGATTTTTTAACTCATTGGCTCTGCCAGATTGACCACTGCCACTAATTGGGCTTTTTTCTATTTGCTCTTTTTTTTTTTTTTTTTTTTTTTTTTTTGTCTAGTCAACTGATCCAACCGAGAAAGATGCATGGAAGGATAGAGGCACAGGTCAGCTCTCTATTAAGTGCAAAGAAGGTGTTAGCAAGGGTACCCGAGAATCCAAACCAACTGTTCTCATACGCAATGATGTATGCCTCTGTTCATGTTTTAAGCCTTCAGTTAAATAGTGTTCGTTGTAGCATTATTGCAATTTTTGAGCAGTTATGTGACATTGTGAACATTTTGCAATGTTCATCAGTTCATTTTGAGCAGTCTATCTTTGGTTTTTCTTTTACTTGCAGGTTGGTAAAGTGCTACTCAATGCACTACTATATCCAGGCATTAAAACAAATATGCAGAAGAATTCCATTGTCACTATATTCCATATAGCGGTAATACATCTCTAATCTGGACAGAAAGATAGACCTCTTTCTTTATGTCAAATATTTGTCAGCGGTTGTCAGTACCACAACAACTATTCTGTGCTTGGGATTCTATGTTAGCTTCAGTAATTTGTTGCATGATATTTTGCGGTCCACTTATTTCTAAGGCAGGAAGGATTGCAGAACAGAAGAGTTGGGGCTGCCTGTTTGATAAAACTGAAAACAAATTTTGAACATTAAGATGTTCAAAATTTGCTAATGTTAGAATTCTATCACTTGAATCCAATAACTGAAATTAATCACTTTATTAAATATGCATATTAACTATGTGCATATAATTAATGTTGCTGTTGTGAACATTTTTGCAATGTTCATCAGTACATGCCATTATGTCTGTGTATAATGTAAACTTTTATCCTAGATGCATTTATGACTTGTATATTCTTGATTCTTTTTTCCTGTGCACTTATATTATTGGTGACACGATATGGTGTGTAGGATGGAGAGAATAATGATAACGTGGTTGCACGGACCTGCTTGATAAGATTGAAATCCATGGAGGATCGAGATAAACTTGCAGAAGTCATTGAGGACTATGCTCCTGCTGCCTGAGAATCGAAATTCTGGTAGTATCGATTTTGTTGTATTATTACTACACCTATAACTCCAGGAGAATAGCTGAGTGGAAAAAAAACAATCATGTTTCCAAATGAAAATTTCCTGTGGATTCATAGTGTTATTGTGTCAGCTTAAAATATGTTGCTAATTCATTTAGGATCTGTTGCAGTTGTATCAATAGGCTTACAGTGTATTATTATATTGGAGAAACAGTGTTCTCTAAATGGGAAAATGCTTTATTGTTGTTTTATTAGCAGCAGCGATTACTTCAGTTCTTTTATTTCTTCAGTTTTTCATTTCATTATAAAGAATATACAGGTAAAGTATACTCTAATTGGATAGTATACTTTTGAGTTAGGTGGTGGTACAAGCGAATTGTCTCAAGTGTAAGGTGTGTGTAGAAGTGTATATTTACTATTTAGTATTGAGTCTCAAAGTTAGATTGGTTCGATTTACCTCCATATGACTCTGTGATGGGTTAATGGAGTTCAAAATATAGTCTGGCAAAATGTGACGGGTTAATGGAGTTTAAAATATAGTCCGGCAAAATTGGAAAACCTGAGTTATAAAAAAAGGCTAATATATAGAGACACATAATGAGAGTTTTGGTAAATAGTTGTTAGCTAATTGGTTAGTGAATTTGACTAGTTAATGGCATTAGCTGATTGTAGAAAGATGTTTGTTAAATTAGCTATTAGTTATTACATACAAAATGACTTTCTCAAAAAGCTAATCGAAAAAGTTGTTTTGAGCAGTTTTTTGAATTTTAGTATTTTGAAACAATAAACTCTTACAAAAAGCTAATTAATCAAACACTCATATTGATTGTTTAACAAAATTAAATAGTTAATAGGGGTCAAACAAGTCAAAATTGACTGATAGACTAACTATTTTTTTAGCAAATAGAGCCAATATACAGAGACACAATGTATCTATATAAAAGCCTAAACAAGTTTTTGCCCATGACAATCTAGAAATGAGGTTCAAGCTAATGTTTCGAAATTTCAACAAGGTCCCAAAATGGCTTATGTAGTACAGGCAGTTGTTTCAGTTTCTCACTGAATCAAGACCACAATACCTATAGTCCCAGGTACTTGTTGAGGGAAACAAGTTTTAGCATCTTCCCTCCCTATGTAACTGCTATACAATACCTACTGTCTTTTCCAAGCCCTCAAGACTTATATTCTTCACATTTTGCAGCTGCCCACTAACTTGGAGAGGTTCTAACATGGATATGAACCGATCGCATTAGACAGTTGTCGTCTATCGAAGGGCAACTAAGATAAGCCTGGTTGGTGTATGTACTTTGTGTAGAACTAGGAATCTCAGGCGATGAGATAAGCCTCGTCGGTGTCTGGTAAGACAATATCAAGTCTCATCATTGGCTCGTATCTTTTCGGTATTTTAGCACCAGCCTGCATGCAGAGTTCAACCACGGCTGGAGCTTTCCCATAGAACCTCTTGAGTGTGCTCTTGAGCGGATGCCCTTTGGGGTCCCTAACATGCCACACGTAATTCGGGGGGAAAACTTCATCCACCGTTGCATCTTGCCATCCGTGTTTCCCGTCCCTCCATTGGTGCTTAAACGCACCACACAGCTTAACATTGTGACCCCAGGGGCCGACATGAATCTCTGAACAATACCCACAAGCTTTCACAGTATACATCTTCATCAACTTGGTCACGCCCCTTTTCACTTTCTCGTATGCTTCCATGGTCTTCTGTGCAATCACGGGCACCTCAGATTCTTCAGGAGGGCCGAACCTTTCAAAAGCACGATGAGTGTCGATGTCCACGATTGATGACCCTATATCCACACACTGACGGGGACCAGGCTCCTCAACATATCCACCTATGTCAATGATTTTCTTACCAATCATACGGACGGGTTTAGTCCTCCTACGCGAAGGATACTCTGGTAATTCAACACCAGCCTGGATGCAAAGTTCTACAATAGCCGGAATTCTATCAAAATCAAACCGAGTCTCATGCTTAATGCGCTTACCAAAAGGATCATACATATGGTACGACTCAATAGGGATAAGTATGTCATTGATAGAACCTTTCACCCACGAGTGGCAGCCTTTGCGACTGGGACCACTCGTCCCACGACAATCTTGAATCTCATGAGCCCTCTCAGCAATATGAACTTCTGAGCATTCACTGCAGGTGGATAACAAGAAATCAAGCTGTCAGTTAACATAACCATAACTATCACTATGCAACATCAAGCAGAAGAACGCCACACTTTCTGAGCTTTCTTACTGTTATAATCTAAGATAACCGAAACTACAGCTGTGTGGACCATGATCTACCCTACAACAATTGAATGAATATAGGCCAAACCACACTAAAAGATTGGATCCCACCAGTTAGCTAGTCTAATCCATGGCCTTATTAAGACTTCCAAAGCTTACCAACAAGCATAAACCGGAACTACATGGAGGAGCTGGGCCACTCCATTAATCAAAATCTTCCAAGCATCTAATACTTGATAAGCAACCGGAAGTAATTCAGGCACCAAAACCCCATTCTTTGGAGGCTGAAGAGGCTTCTCCACTCCCTTCTGTGCGAGCTTTTTATCAGCCCTTGCAGCCTGCAAAATTTTCTTGAGAGGTATGGGATATGGCTTCTTCTTGTTCTTGGGCTGAACCGGGGGAAAATCCACGTTTTGAGGAACTCCATTTTTCTTAGTCTTACCATCTCGGGGACTGGGAGGTGTCCTATCAAGACTAAGGAAAACCCCAGCTCTTCTTGCAGCATAATACTTAGAACAACCAAACAAAGACACAAACTTAATCCATCAAATCAACTAGTGTTAAGGATTATCCATGAAAGAGAGAGATATTGGTGGAACCTGAGGCTTCAGATATTCGAATTTGTCAGAGCAAGAACCTGAGAATATCGAAACTGAGTATAAGATTAACCCAAAAAAGAAAAGGAAGAGTAAAAGTAAAAGATGGTTTAATCAAATGATAAAACCCAAGCAAAATCTCGAAACTAAAATGAAATTTAAAGGGTGAAATGAAGTAAGAACCGCGGAGAGTTTGGGTCCAGGGAGCGAAAGTCAGAGCTGGAAACCGATGGAGCATTTGCCGCTATTGTGCGCGTCCTCGATGAATTTTTCGGTGCTTCCGCGGCGATGAAGGAGTGAATTGCTCAGGGTGAGGGTGTAGTCGCTTCACGGCTTTTATTTATTATATATATATATATATATATATATATATGGTTCTTTATTTTCTCTCCATAAAAAATCCCTATTTTCATATGTTTATAAAATTTATGAAAATTTTTAATAACTTCAACTATATATAATATATTGCAGTAAGGACCTCCATAATGGTTCGTCCCTTATTTTTTCATTTTGTGAGTTCAACTCTTCTTTTTCACCTTTTAATCATCTCTCTTATTTCCTTTCCGACTCTTCTCCTCTTTTCTCCCATTTTTTGTAAGACATACTCTTTTTCACTCTTACATATTATTATATTATTTTATTCACTTTTCTATAATTAATAATTTTTACTATCTAATTATAATTTTGATGTTAAATAAAAATAAATTTAATTAACAGAATAAAGATTTAGAAAACAAATAAAAATGGCGATGGCGATGGTAGCGGTGGCGGTGGCGATAGCGGCGGTATCGATGGTGATGGTGATGGTGACGGTGGTAAAATAATATATTAATTTAATTGGAATAAAATAGGAAATAGAAACTTTAACCTATTTCTGAGAACTCAAGAATAGCCTAATACCAAGGAGCCCCCCACGAATCTCTATTCCCCTTGCAAGGGGAATAGGAATAGGTCATTCCCGAGAACAATGTTCGTGGGAATACAAGGGGTTACCAAATAGAGGAATAGGCCTATTACTGGGAATGCTATGCCATTCCAGGCCTATTCCGTGAACCAAACAACCCATTAGTATCGGGCAAATTATGCTATGGAATCGTGCCCACCTTGCAAGTTGGGCACAGTTCCACAACATTTTCGTTTAACGAAAACGACGTCGTTCTAATTTTTAAAAAAATTTATTTTCACTTGTTAACGGCGTTTCTCTCTTCACAATTGTATTATTTCGTCTTCGCAGTACAGATATTATGAATCTACAGTACATAAATTATAATCTACAGTATATAAATTATGAATCTACAGTATAGAAATTATGAATCTACAGTTTATAAATTATGGATCTATCCTGTGTTCACCATGCGCATGGTGAACACGGTTCCACAGCATAACTATTAGGGATGACAATGTGCCCCGTCCCCGTAGGGGATTGGGACGGGGATGGGAAAAAATTTCGGGAATCGTGGACGGAGATACCCCACCCCCGCCCCGCCCCGTCCCCGAAAAATATATATATATATATATATATATATATATATATATATATATATATATATATATATATATATATATATTATATTATATTATATTACGAATTAGGAATTAGATTATTAGTTATTTAGTTAATTAGCTTTATTAGATTTTAAAATTAAAATTTAAAATACACTTAGTACTATTCAACTATTCAAACAGTGTGTATATATTGGATGAATTGAAATTTGAAATATATTGAATATGATTACATTGTATGCACTGTGAATATTGAATGTGTATATATTGGATTAATTAGATTATCAGAATATAACGATTATGGATTTCAATCTTTTATTTTTTTTTAATTTTAAAAAATTACATTACTTTCACACATTAATTATAAGTTGATCAGAAATGGAGATTTCCGTCTCTGCGAGAACGAGGACTGAAAATTATTTCAATTCCCCGCCGGGAACGGAGACGGAAATGAGGTCAGGGAGTATACTCCCCGCCCCGTTGTCATCCTTATTAGGTATATAACAATTGAAGCCTATGCATTTGGGGTTTAGTTGGGCCTCCTGTGATTAGGCCTGTAAATAAATTGAGTTATGACTGAATTGACGTCGCGACGTTTCACTCGTCGGCAGCAATTACCTCGTTGGAACTCCGGCGATTCTCAAGCTGAAGTACTATTTACCCTTCTTCTCCTTTTCGTCGTTTTTCTGCCTGAAGTTAACAAAAAAAAAAAAAAAGGGGGGGGGAAAAAGAGAGGAAAGAAGATGAGCCAATGCGAAGCTTCTGCTCTCCTCTCCAAACTGCTGAAACTACCACCGCTCAAAGCTCTCTCACTCTTCGAATCATCTATCCAACAAGGACTCCAACACACTCACCAATCTGTATCTGCCCTCGTTTCCCATCTTCTTTCCTTCGACAGCCTCGCCCAGACTCAATCTCTCATCCAACAATTGCTCGCCGGCAAAATTACCTCCCCACATTTCACAGTTTCTTCTCTTCTTCACTATTTGATCGCTCAAACTCACTTCCATCCTGCTGCTCTGTGTGAGACAATCATCAATGCTCATGTGCGGGCTCAGTTACCGGAACAAGCCATTTTCTTTTTCAACCATATGAAGGTACCCAATTCAAGCACTCTGAACAGTCTTCTTGATTTTCTTGTAAAGAATGGCAATTTTGTGAAAGCTTTGAGGGTTTTTGAGGAGTCGAAGAGAAAAGGCTTGGGTTTGGATGTGTATAGTTTTGGGATTGTGATTAAGGGTTGCTGTGACAATGGAGACTTGAAGAGGGGTTTTGAGTTTTTGGGTCAGTTGGAAGATATGGGTTGGTGTCCAAATGTTGTTATATATACCACTTTGATAGATGGGTGTTGTAAGAATGGTGATATTCAAAAGGCAAAGGAGTTGTTTCATGGAATGTCAGAATTGGGGCTTGTTCCTAATCAGTACACTTACACAGTTTTGATCAATGGGTTTTTCAAGAATGGGCTTGAAAGAGATGGTTTTGAGCTTTATGAGAGGATGAAAATTGATGGTACATACCCTGATACACATACTTACAGCTCTATGATCAATGTTCATTGCAGTGAGTGTCGAATAGACACCGCTTTTCAATTGTTTGACGAAATGCGTGATGGAGGGGTTGTATGCAATGTTGTTACTTATAACACTTTAATTAGAGGGTTATGTCGGCAGACAAGAATGATGGATGCAGAGAAATTGGTTGGTCGGATGAAGAGTGATGGGTTTACTCCTAATCTGATTACTTATAACATTCTGATCGATGGGTATAGCAAAGCTGGGAAGATCGAGAAAGCATTTAGCTTGTTCAATCAGTTGAAGTCTTGCGGTTTAGCTCCATCGTTAATTACTTACAATGCTCTAATCGCAGGTTTCTCTAAAGCTGAAAATCCAATGAGAGTTCTTGATTTAGTTCGCGAGATGGAGGAGAGAGGCATTTCTCCTTCGAAAGTGACATACACAATTCTGATCGACGCCTTTGCTCGATCTAATAACATGGAGAAAGCACTCGAAGTGCTCTCCTGCATGGATAAAGCGGGGTTAGTGGCAGATATGCACACGTATGGTGTATTGATACGTGGTTGGTGCAGTCAAGGCAATATGAAGGAAGCCTCAAAGCTATTTAGATCACTACAGCTGGAAGGCAATAGTGTTATATACAATACGATGATCTATGGGTACTGCAAAGAGGGTAGCTCCTACCGAGCTTTGAGGTTGCTCAAAGAGATGGTTGAGAACGGAATGGTTCCAAACGCTGCTAGCTATCATTTGACAATAGAGGTGCTCTGCAATGATGGGAAGTGGAATGATGCTGAAGTTGTTACAAATAGCATGATAAAGTCTGGTTTAAAGCCCACCCGTTCTCTAAGTGAAATGATTATTCAGGCCAGAAGCATTAATATGGAAGAATGCTTTTGAAGGGATTTCTGTAATACTAGCGAGGCATGGGGCTATGTCAAGGAACTTGAGTTGAAAAGTGGAAACTCATTTGCAGGCACATCATTCACGGCTGCCTTAAAAGGGAGTGGTTAGTTTTACTTTCCTATCCCAACATATTTAAATTTAAAAGGGTTTCCTTCACTAGGCTCAGTAATCATTTAATCTATCCTTTCACTCCTTACTATTGTCTCTTCCAGAATTTAGATTGCCATAGTGTAGCTGTTTGGCCTTTTCTTTATATTTGTTCTTTGAAATTATCTGCCCGCACTGTTTTCATTATTAAAAGAAGAGTCTTAAGAGTCCCACATTGATCAAATAAGAGAGAATATATGGATTTATAAGGCTATGGGTTAGATTAGCTAATTGGTTGGATTCAATCTTTTAGTGTTGTTGAATATTGGTGGTGTCCAGAGTGGCCCATGCGCATTATAGCCCAATGATGATTGAGATTTGAGAATAAAAATAAAATGATGATAAGAAAATATGGGATAAAAGAAGGGCGGCATGTTGAGAATATGGTAACACTTCTGATCTGATGAATAACGAGAACCATATACAAAGCATTTCCTAATTTCATTCTGTTGGTGCATATAGTTTACAGTAGCAATATGTATATGTATGGCTTACACAATTACTTTTGGGGTTCCTTTCTTTGACTAAACTATTAATATTTTGAAACATGAGAAAACATGGTAAGGTTCTGAAGTTTTCTCATCCCCAACTATAGTCAGATGTTGGGGTATTTTGATTTTTCATTCATTAGCAGATGCTAAGGTATTTATGTTGTTGGTTTAATAGCTGTAAATTAAGAATGAATGAACTGTATGTTGTTTGCTTGAATATTCTGATCTGCAACACCTACAAAAGTTGCAAAGTTAGAGGAGCCAGGGATACCCCAGCTCCAATAAGCTTGGACTCGCGCTTGGGTGGTTTCTCCAGGCTTTGGGCATGGAATTTCATTGTCTTTGTGTGTGTGTGTGTGTGTATGGAGGAAACGGATCAAATGAGAACCCGCGCCCAAGAGAGAAATAGGAACCCATTGCAACCGTCTATCTGGATAGATCTAATGGATCATAAACACTTTTAAAAAAAGTGGTGGTATTTTTGTAAATAATTTAAACTTTGAAATGCAAGTAAATTGTGTTAAAAGTGCAAGTAACAGTTTCCTAGAATGCACCTAAGTACAAGTAAAATGTATTAAAAGTGCAACAATATAAAGTACACCGAGCACCAATATTAAATACATCTAACGTCATCATTAGTTGCACCAAACGTTATTATTAAGTGCACCAATGTGAAAAGGTAAATTACTTGCACTATTAAGTATAAATGGTTGCGTTTAAGCGATTTTACTTGCACACTTGCATCTGTTACTTGCACTTTTAACACATTTAACTTGCACTGAAAGTTTGAGTTATTTACAAAAATGACACTACGCTTTTTTTTAATTTTTAAATTACATCTTATCCGTTGATCTTTTTAAATGTTCAACTCAGATTAGTTTTTATTTCTCTCTTGGGTGCCCGTTCTCACTAGAGTGCTTCCCAAACTATTTGATCTCACACTAGATCTAGGGAAATGCACTTGCGGCAATTTTTTCCTCCCAAACTTGTTGGAAGACGAACAATTTATTATAGTGCTAGATTTATAAAATGAAGGATACTAAGCCACTATTGCTAGTACGCGGCTGACTTGTGTAGACGATATGTATTGTTTCAGGTTGTAACTCCAGTGGTTCCTGCAATTAGACCGCTGCTTACTTTCACAAAGTTTGAAGAATGGCAGCCATTGGATGAGTTTTCAACTCCTCCATCATGCCCTACTTCTGCAGGCGTGGAAAGTCCAACGCTGTGGTGCGTCAATCAACATTTTGATTTCCGTCGATAAGAGCCCCTTATCAGTGTCCTTTTTCGTCTACCGGGAGTTCGAGCTGCAAGATAGAAAATAATCAAGTTCTCTTTGCAATCCCTTCAAATTACGCAGGATCACAGCAGAAGCAAAGAAAAAGAAGCTGTAGGAGGAAAAGTTGAAGAAAGGGAAGAACAGGGAGAGAAGGTTGGTTCTCCTCCCTACCATGTTCTTTAGTCAAATTGCTGCATCTTTTCTTAGCAACATAACTATGGTAAATTATTGGGTGTATAATTCATCCAAATGTTTGAAGCTTTGTTAGATCATGAGGTGTCCTAAGTAGGCCTAACTATAAAAGACACCTTTAAGCCCGTACTATACTCAAACTAATCTCTGTTCGCACCGGGCCGACCCAATTAAGAGGCAAAGTGCTGGTCATATTTGTTTTTCCGTACGAGAGGGGGTTTTGAACTCCCGACTTCACTTAAGGGGATGAGGGGGTTTTGAAATTGATATTTAACGGGTATTCGACCGTTATGTGATTCATCATGTGTGCTTTTCTTTGAGAGCAGTTGTATGACACAGTAGCAGGTTTGTTGATGAATCAGTGAATCACAGATGCAATGATGCAATCTTTTTAATTTTAATTTTAAAATTTAAAATTTACCACCATCATTTATTCTATTGATTTGTTGATTTGAATATGACTTGAGTGATTATAGCATATATATATAATGGGATTTTATGCAGTTGGAAAGTGATTTTTGTACAGCTAGGTTGGGAGATAATGGTTTTGATTGAACCTCCTGAGAGTACTATTGTTCAAGTTATGAGATTCTTAATTTACTGGGAAGTTCACATTACGTATGAATTTGGAAGGAATGAAATTCTTATATAACAAAAATAAACTTTACAACTATTTGGGTTAATATTTATGGGAAAATTATTCCGTGGACTCACAAGGTGAACCTAAGTCTAAAAATATACAATTTATATACCGAATGTTCACAATTTTACATATTAAATGTTCACAATTTACATACTAAATGTTTACCATTCAAATTGTGAACATTCAATATGAAGTGGAATGCATTTCTCATTGATAATACAATGGCTATGGCTTCTTTTTTTTTTTTTTTGAAAGTGGTAAAAGACTGCATTAGTTAAATAACGAAATAAGATAGTCTGGAGGAGAATCTCCAAGTAACACATACAGACTGAGAGCCAGAACCCCTAGTTAGCGTGTGGGCAAACTGGTTCGCTGTACGTGAGGTAAAACGACATATATAATCGTGAAAAGAGAAAAGTAAAGTACAACACTGCTCCATGGGGCCGTAGTCTCTCTTGCTTTTGGTGATGGCCTCTATATATGATTTTGTTGCAGTGAGATTCCAGACAGATCTTGCTTATGCTGCGAGCCTTCAGCCAAGACAATGCCATAAGTTGTGCTTGGTAGGGATGATCTACATACGACAATGGAGCGCTATGTGGTGTAAAAAAGAACAGCACCAAAAGAAGCCCTCCGTGTATCTTTGAAGATGGCTGCGTCAACCTGACATTTAAAAAAGCTTGCCCAACAAAAGCAAGATTTCACTTTTTCTAAAAGACAATCCTCCATTTTTAGCGTCTGCAAAGCAAGGGCAATAGTAAAGCTGCAGCCACACTTTTATAGGAAATTTTCTCATTATATATATGGCCTATTAATACACGCAATACCACAGCCTAACTATTGATTTTTTTTATTTTTTTTTTGGGGACTAAAATGGCAATTTTGAGTTGTTATTTTGTAGTACAAATATATGCATGTCTATTTTTGATTCAGGTCGCGTCGAGGTGGATTCAGATTCTTCGTATTGGGACGAAGAAATTATATATTGTATGTTCAAAATGAATAATGGATGAATGAAAATTAATTCTCAAAGTAGACTGATTTAAGTTGAAAAATAAAGATGAAAAGGCTTAGAAGTAGCCATGCCATTGTCTCACATTAGAAATGGATGTAAATTTGCACTAGTATATATATAGAATTAGGTTCGGGTGCCCAGGTACGGTTGTGCGGTTTAATCTGGGCCATTCATATCGCTTAAATTAACGTCCAGGATTACCAAAATTTTTTTAAAAAAAATGCGGTGACAATTTTGTAATTTTTGCATCTAGGTCAAAATTAAGGTGAGCGGTGCTGTGATTAATGTGCGTGAGTTTTGTATATAAGATGCGTGAGTCTTGTGTGTAAGGTGCATGAGTTTTGTGCTTAATGTGCGTGGGGTTGTGCTTAATGTGAGTAGTTGTTAAAACTTAAAGTGTGGGCTTTTGTGCTTAAGGTGTGTGAGATTTGTTCTTGATGTGAGTGGAGTTTGTGCTTAATGTGTGTAGGGTTTGTGCTTAATGTGTGTGAGTTTAGTGATTAATGTCAGTAGTTGTTGAAACTTAAGGTTTGTGAGTTAATACTTAAAGTGCGTGCAATTTGTGCTTAATGTGCGTGAGGTTGTGCTTAATGTGTGGGTTTTGTACTTAATGTGCGTGAGTTTGTGCTTAATGTCAGTAGTTGTTGAAACTTAAGGTCTGTGAGTTAATACTTAAATTGCGTGGGTTTTGTGCTTAATGTACGTGAGGTTGTGCTTAATGTGCGTGGGTTTTGTACTTAGTGTGCGTGAGTTTGTGCTTAAGATCTAACACTTAAGGTGCGCCATTTTTAGCTTATGTTTCTTACTTCCAGACAGGCATTTTTTTTTTTAATTTTTATTGATTTGAGCCGTTGATCTAGATTTGATCAACGGCTCAGATCTAACCGCACAACCGCACGTGTATATATATATATATATATATATATATATATATATATATATATATATATATATATCTTACTATATAAAAAAGCCACACACCTTGGGATGCACAATAGAGCCAAAAATTCCCGCTCAAATGTTTTGGCTTACAAAAGTTGTTTTGAGTAAAATAAAAAGTTCCTGCTTAATGGAAGAAGATTCTAGATACACAGTGTATTTATGAATAAGTCTTTTTATATCTCTAGAAAACAATTACCAATGAGGAGTAATGACCACATGTTATTTTCAAGGTGTCTTTTGAGTTTCAACTACAAAGCATTGTTTATACGCATTAAAGTAGATAACCATATCTGTATATATATTGGGTTCTCATATTGCAGAGGACTTAGAGGTCGGAATATGAATCTTAACGATCTAGAAGAGGCGATGCTGCTAAGACCGTGTAACGAAGCATCGGCACCAACAATTATCACACACCAGTGAGGATGGTGGGAGGATGAATTTTAGGAGAAGGCTATATATATATTCGCTAGGATGTTTGTGGTTTTTTTTTTTTTTTTGACAGATCTGAAGTTGGCATTAGTTTAGCTTAGTATCATGTTAATGGCGGTGGTGGGAAAAGATTTGGTGATATGTGGCTGCAACGATGCATGGCAAGTGTGCTGGGAGAATACCATTGGGATGACAACTCTGTATGCAAATGGGATATACATGTATATTAATAGGATAGATTTAAACAAAACGAAAGCTTAAAGAAAGTGTTTTTTTTTTAATGGAAGGGAGATACATTCTTTTTTTGAAAACAGAGAGATACATTCTTATCTGTACTTGGATTAAAAAAAATGTATGTCCTGCAAACTGTTTGTGAAAATGTCAAGATGAATTCTAGAAATAATTTGGACGTACAGGGAAGGGAGGATGTTACAATGAACAAAGAAGCTTGATTACAATGTGCTGCAAGAGGAAACACAATGCTGCAATAGAGGTAAAATCCAAATGCATACCTAATTTCAATCCTTTAATTTTAATAGCATACTTTGAAAATGTTATAATTTCAACATCTATTTAAGTACCCTATTATGTTTCAACTCATCCTTTAGAAAAATCTAAATTCCTCCAAATACAAGCTGCAATATAACAATGTTGGAATTCATTTACACTGTTCTGTTTTTAAGCAATTTCAAAACCTGAAATTTTTTTAGGCAGTATTACACAATACCATAATTTCAAAGGATATGAATTCATTTATACAGTTTAAAATGTTATAATTTCAACATCTATTTAAGGATATGATTTCAACTTAGTAAGTAAACCTGCAGCACAAGTAGTTTAAGTTTAGCATTGTCATTAAAGGATATCATTTAGTTAAATGTAAGATGCATGTTTGAATTTTTAAGTTGATAACATTTTAAACTGTATTCAGATTATCAGTACTGCAGCTTAACCTTATTTTGTTTTACAGGTAAATTTAAGTTATTTGACAACTTTCTTTTATCATGAAGATAAGTGTATTTTACAACTTTCTTTCTTAACCTCATTCTTTAAAAGCATAGATTACTGTTATTGCTGAAAGCATGCTTAGTAATACAAACAACTTATTTACAAATATAAATTAATCTGTATAAGTATCCCCGTGCCATGCCCTCTATGTATATGCTGGGTGAAATTGTTATACAAACTTTGTGTTCAACACACTCCTTTCCGGAGTATTGGAAGTTTGTCCTGTGGGAACATCTTTGACAAGTACATAAGTGATTCGATGGTTGTTGCTACAATCACTGATGTGTATGCTAAGAAACATGTGCCATTTTTGTATTCTTTGAACACGAAGGGTGTCCAATGAAGAGCTTTTCTGCTCTTGCTTTGGGAGAGGTAGAATTTAAAATAGAGAGTGAGGAGAGAAAAATTAAATTCTTCCACCGATTGAAATTTAGAAGTTGTTAGATGATTAAATGTGATATTTTTACACCATTTAAAATATTTCAATTGTATTGACCAAGTGTGGTCGTTGGTTTAAGAAAATTATGCTATGAATGTCATTTTAAGTTTTTATCAAATTTGAACTTTTATCTATTTGTTTTTTTTTTTTATTGAGTTTTGTTAAAACTTTATTGAGTTTTGTCTAATGGCTGCTTAACTATTTGTTTTCTCTTTTTTTTTTTTTTTTTTGGTTGTTTCAGCTAACAAAATACTTAATCAGTCATTGTGAGAAGGTATTAATGTCATTAGCGTAAAGAAGCAGCAATCCATCCTGTTCGATGTGGGATTCATTGACAGATATATGTACTGCTTTGACAACATGTAATAGTATATACTCGGTCTTTTTTGAGCTAAATCTTTCTTAAATCCTCAGTTTTTTATGAATAGAATGTTAGATGAGTGATATATCAAACATTTTTGCATTTGTAAAATATATCAAACAAGTTACAACGCAGCACAATCATATTAGATGACTAAGAAAATACATACATGTGCTATATAAAGATTTAATGTTTTATTACTTCCCTTAGTTGCCTTAATTTCTAAAATGTTGTTTTATAGTAAGGCATTAGAATAGAGAACCATAGTAGATCATGTTTTTAGTACTCTTATTAAAATACTATATCGTAATATAAATATGCAACACATAATTGCAGAAAAAAATGTATTCTTTCGAATTTTATTTAAAAAGCTAATATTATATTGTAATAACTGATTTACTACACTATTATTTTTTAATAATATGAATTTGTTAGGTACTAATCACTGCTTTTAGTTTTATAGGGAATATAATTAGTTTT